CTGGCACACTCATGATGATAAATATTAACATCATCATCATCTCCGAATCAATAAGATTATTCACATTTTAGTTTTTTTCTTTATTTTCTGACTTACGTAGGTGCAGGGATTGTCTTCACATTGAGGAAAAATAGTAAGAACTTTTTTCAATTTTAAAAATATGATGATGAAAACAGTGGCATTAAGAAAGTTGGAAGAGGGGCCGGCCCGGTAGTGCAGCAGTTAAGTGCGCACGTTCGCTTTGGCGGCCCGGGATTCACCGTTCGGATCCCAGGTGCAGACGTTCGCACCGCTTGTCAAGCCATGCTGTGGTGGGCATCCCACATATAAAGCAGAGGAAGACGGGCATGGATGTTGGCTCAGGGCCAGTCTTCCTCAGCAAAAAGAGGAGGATTGGCAGCAGATGTTAGCTCAGGGCTAATCTTCCTCAAAAAAATAAAAGAAAGTTGGAAGACCATGAAGCTGTTGTACAATCTGATGAATGTCTATATTATTTTAATTAAAATCAGATCAATAAATCTTGACCAATAAGAGGAGAGGATTCCATGTTACTGGGTTTGAGAATTGGGTCCCTCTAACAATCACTAGTGAGGAGCGGATGGCAATCAGACTTCTACTCTATCGCTCTGTCTCTGTTAGGGACAAACGATTACAGAACCACAGTCTTAAGTATGGGGATGTTAGAAGCTGAAGGGCCTTGGAAATCATATATTCAATGGCACAGGGACTATGACAGCCCAGAATCGGGCACATGCTAGGTCCCAGTAGATCTTTGCTAAATCTCCTCACAAGATATTTTACAGGAAAACCCAATATATTAAACAGAGAAAAGTGGAAGTGCTTGGATCGAGTTGAGGTGTCCCTTGGACCCCTCATAGGCCTACCAGGATTCCTTAGAACAGAGTGTGAAAATCATTAACGCACTTCAACCTCCTCTTTTGCAGTTGTCACAGCAGACAGCCTCACACAGTGAAGAGAGCGGGAGCCTGAGAATCAGCCAGACCTGAGGTTAAGTCCTGGCTTGCCCGCTTTCAAGATGTTTGCTCTGCCACAGACATTGGCTTCTCAAATAAATCCTGTCCATTTGGTCACCCTTTTCTCCATCCACCTATGGCACAGGGTAGGTGTGTGGTTGTGTCTATATGCATTTCTGCACAGGACTTCTCTCTGAGAAACATCTGCCTTGGAAGAAGAGTTAGCAAATTCACGAATTGTGCTTTGATTTACAGCTTTGGAGACTCTGCTGTTTATCTTTTTGTTAAAGTCAGAGACTGCTGCCTTGATTATACACATCACAATTTTTTCCTTAAGTGCTTTGAAGGAGCATAACGTGGAAAATGTTAACAGTGTGTTGAAGTGAACAAGGATGATACAATGGTATGTACAACATGATTAGCAGCTGTGTAAAATATATATACAAATAGAAGAAAAGGGTGGAAAGTAATAAGCAAAAATAAAAATTACAATGCTTGTAAAATTCAACTGTGTTTATGGAATGCAAACATTTTTACTGAAATCAACATCTCCTACTTTAAAATCTCTCTGGGATAGAATTATATTCCTTATCTTCCCCTGGGAGAGACTTTAAATCTGTGGCCAATATGAAGCCACTTTACATGTTCAATTCTCTGGCCCCAACCTGGCAAGCTAGAGTCCTGGGAGGTGGGCCAGCTGAGGGCCAGAGACCCAGGAGGCTGGGCTGCTGTCAGAGGCTGTGGAGCGTGGGGCTTCCGGTGGGACCAAGAATTCAGGGCTAAGGGTTATCTGAAAGTCCCTATCCGAGGACAAAATTAAAACCAATGACCATCCAGCTGAGTCAGCAATCCAAAGGGACTGGTTAGAGACAGAGAAAGTTTGGAAGGGCAACTTAGGGGACTTCTTTGTGCTGCAGAGCAAACCTGAAGTTGCTTCTCCTAGGCTTCCATAAGCTTCCTCCTGGTGGGGCCAGAATCTGGGCACGTGACTGAAAAGTCCAACATGAGGTGGACAGCCAAGGCCCAGGGAAGCTTGAAATACAGATATCTTATGAAAAAAAAAAAAACATAGTAGGAACGACACAGATTTTGGAGCGGGAGAGACTAGGGTTCTAATCCCAGATCAACTACATGCTAGTTATGTGACTTGAGTAAATGATCCAAACTTTTCAGCCTCAGTTTCCTCATCTGAAAACATGGATGTGGTAGGGGAGACTACTTGGCCACCAAAGCTTGGGCGCCCCTTCCGTGGTATAGAGCTATTGCTAGAAAGTAGCTGTCCTGCCAGGGCTCCATTACAGTTCTCAGTTCTTTTGCATCTAAGTGGGGCCATGTGACAAGTCCTGGACATTAAAATGTGAGCGGAAAGGATGGGTGTCAACTGAGCAAAGACAGTTGAGTATCCACTATGCCTTCCCCATACTCTCTTCCTCTTCTGCCTTGGAAGTCATATTTTGAAGATATTGATGTTTCAGAATGGAAGGGCCCAGATCCCTGAGTCACCACTTGGAGGAAAGCTGTTTAAGAGACCAATCCAATCAAAGAATGTCTACACTGGCATTGTGTGGACCACAATAACTCTTAGTGTGTTGTCATTGAGATTTGGGGGTTGTTTGTTACAGCACTTAGCCTACTGTAAGGTAAATACCTAATTTATAGGTAAAAATTGAATCTATTTCAATTAATCAGCTTATCATGCAAGGGAAAAAAAGAAAAAACTGGATGAGTTTTTGCCAAATTTGGAGAGTACATTTAGGATACTTTGATTCCAAACACAGTCTGTATCATGCAGACGAATTTCCTTTTGATGGCTCCTTGGAAGCACCTCAAAGAGTTAAGCAGTCAACTTCCAGAGGTACAACGAGAGACCTGTGCGATGACTGATTCAGACAATAAGCCACATATACAAACATTTGGTGAGAACAAATAGGAGTTTCAAATGTGATCACTAATTCAGAAGTCACTTAGGGCAGACATCTGAATGTCTCACTGATCTCTGTTAGAATTGCTTATCACATGAGCCACTCTGGATGGACTGCTCTAAGGTATATAACGGCAGCCAGATTAATTTTTTAATGATGCTTAATGATTCTCGTCAGCAAAGCAGGGGAGGCAAGCTAGTAAAACAATGTATGTACAGCGCCTGACACGATGCCTAGAACACAAGCATTAGCCCCATTTTCCTGCCAGCTCACTACAGTGGTTGCTTGCTTGTTGCCTCTTCATCCGCATCTGGACCAGGGAATTGTGTCATAAAGAGCATCCCTTCAGAGCTGAAGTACCAGGTATGCCCTAGGCCTTGGCTACTGGAAAATTTTTCTTAGCTTTTAAGGTGTAGGAGAGCTCACTGCTGAAGCTGGTAGAATTTAAAAAATAAGACATTTTTTCAGATTGCTTAAATGACCTTCAGTCTTGGCTAAAAATTGATGCCACATTAGAACCATCTTTTGGCAATGAATTAGTTCAAATCCACATGGGGAAAAAAATGGGGTGGAATTTATTTAACATGCTGAAGGGCAAGGACGACCCTTTAGTAAATTAATGTTCACTGTGCATAGTTATGTTTTGGACGACATGGTTTGACCTATGATATGTCCAGATCTGTTTTTTTTAATGACCTTTGAACATGGTGCCTAGTTTTTCTCTCCTTGAGTGGGAACTGTACTTAGTCATTGGCTTCTAAAGAATAGAATGTGGAGAAAGTGAAGGTGTATGACTTCTGAGATAAGGACATAATAGCCTCCTCCTTGTTCTCTCTTGGACCCTTTGCTCTGGAGGAAGCCAGCCACCATGTTGTGAGGATGATCAAACAGCCCCATGGAGAGCTCCACATGACAAGAAGCTGAGACCTCCTGCAAAGATCCAGCAAAGAACTGAGGCCTTCTGTCAACTGTCATGTGAATGAGCTACCTTGGAAGTAAATCGACCAGCCCCAGTCAAGCCTTCAGATGACTGCAACCCTGGCTGATGTCTTGACTGCAATCTCTATGAGAGACCCTTAGCCAGAACTGCCCAGTGAGTTGCTCTCAAAGTCTAGGCCCACAGAAACATAGTGCTTCATAATGAGATAATGGTTGCTGTTTTAAGCTGCTAAATTTGGGGGTAATTTGTTACGCAACAATAGACAACTAATACAGGGACTCTTTTCCAAGATTGAGAGCATTATAAGTGGGACTCTCTTAGGCATAAAGTCAAGCATACAATACTGCATTTTAGTTAGGGGTGTGTGTGAGTTTGTGTGTGTGTGTGTGTTTTAACATAAATAGAGTAAAATGCACAATTGAAGTGTACAACTCAAGGACTTTTTACCTATGTATATACCCATGTAACCACTCCCCAGGTCAAGATAGAGAACATTTCCATTACCCTAAGAAATTCCCTCACGTCCATATCCAGTTAATAATTCTCCCCAGAAGTAACCACTTTTCTGAGTTGTATTATTGATTCGTTTTGTATGTTCCTGAACTTCATATAAATGGAATCATTTGTGAAGTGTGTGCTCTTTTATGTCTGGCTTCTTTCGCTCAGCATAATACTTTTTAAATTTATGTTGTTCCATGTTCCAATAGTTTGTTCCTTTTACTGTTAGGTAGTATTCCATTAGACAATTATGCCAAATTTATTTATTTCTCTATTGACAGACATTTGGATCATTTCCAATTCGAGGCTATTATGAGTAAAGCCAACATGAATATTCTTGTGCCTGTCCCTTTTGTGGACCTTTGCATTCAATACTCTTGGATAATTCTTAGGAGTGGAATTGGTGTGTCATAAGGTGGGTGTATGTTTAACTGTCAAACAATTTTTCAAGGTAATTGGGTCATGTTACATTCTCACTCAAAGTAATTTAGTTTGATTTTTTTTTTTTTCATTTGAAGCAACCCCAGTTTGAAAAGAAAGAAAAACTAAAGTGAGTCTTAATGAAAAATGAGTGGCAATGAATAAAGAGCATCGTAAATTATTTGGAATAGTTAAGAAAACCAGTCTACAAGGCACAGAGCTATCTGACAGCTGATCCTTCAGGCAAATACTTTTATTTTAATCGTCGGTTTGGAAATAATTTTAGCCACCTAGATCAAAGGTTTTCACAAAGATGATTTGAGCAGGGGCCCAAATCCCGAGAGGAGAAGAATTTACATAAAGAACTCTTCCCATGAGCTTTCCACTCTGTTAAATGGAAGAGAGAAGAATCTTCTCACATGGCGTGCTTGTTTACTTAGCCAGCTCTGGGCTGTGACAAATGGAACAACTTCTTGATGCCCAACACAGCTCGCCCCCAGGCACTGAGTCAGCTTTGTGTTTCCCATGAGTTCTACTTCAAATAAACAGACCGGAGAACTGTATTAATTATGCACTCTGGGGCGCAGGGCTGTGACTGGCTTCAGGCTCCACACTCGGCCCCAGTCGCTCGTCTCCAGCTAGCTCACGGCAGAGGAGGTGTCTCTAAGTCCTTTCCATTGCTGAACCTGTCCTGACACCCACAGTGCTATGTTCATTGGTTATACGGGGCACAAAGAGAAAATGGAAACTAAAAAGCCAGAATATCAACTCCAACCTCAGCAACTTCAGGAGACACTCAATGAAATATTTTTTCTATTAGGAAACTTAAAAATTGGCCACAAGTTAACTGTCAAAAAATGGGAAATGTTTTAATAAAAGCCCCTCCTCCTCCTGCAGTGGGTGGGAATTGTTGCGTGTTTAAGAGCTGAGAAATGACACACTGAGGCCTTAGAACTATCCTGAGGCAGCAGTGTGCTGGGCAGAGGGCACAGACACAGAATGGCCAAAGACCTGGATGCGGGGAGCTCCAAGCCCACCAGCTGGCAATTATTTCCAGACAATTCAGGAAAGAATTGGGGCTTGGTTCCTGACAAAGTAATGCATTTTCTAATGACTCTTATTATTATAATTGGCCTAGATACCAGGGGGAAAGGAATAAAGAATTTCTTTTCTTTCTTCATTTTTTTTTTTGCCAGGCTCTGCACCCAACACTTAACAAGCATTAATTGGCTAGATCCCCATCACAGCTCCATGAAGGAGGTACCATTATCCCCATTTCAAAGATGAGCTCTGCCTCGGGGAAGTTAAATAACTTGTGGAAGTTCCCCCACCTAAAAGAAGGAGTCAGGACGGAAACCCAAGTCTCCCTACGCCAAGCCCTTGCTCTAGACTTTACTGACAGCAAATAAGGTTTAAAAGGAGTTTAAAAATGGGCGGCTGCTACCCTTAGCCATGGGCAAGAGCACTATGCTCAGACTGAATAGAATCTGTGCTTGAAAAGGAAAAGGAAAACTTCCCTTGTGTTCTGCTCATAATGACCAAATGGTTCTCCACCCCCCAGTGTTAGTTTATTTTCCTGTGAGAATGGTCTAACAAGAAACCTCTTCCTATAAGAGCATCGCCTCCCTGAGCCCCTGCGGTCCACACTGACCAACCTTGAGCTTTAGATGGCGGTGAGGTTTTCCGCTTTCCTCCTCCAAACCAGGGAGGATGGCTTCCCTGCTGTCTAACTCACTTTTCTAATACAGAGGAAAGCCGCCCTGCCTTCTCTGTTCACTGTCTGATTTAAGGAAGTTCTCCAGCACTAGAGTTGTGGTGTTTCTGTAAGCCACACAAACCAGAATGTATTTCTTCAGCTACTGTCTGTTGTGTCTTTTGGGGTCTTGACAATAGCAGGTTGGAGCACACTCGCTGGTTTGCCCTTATTAAGCCGTGAAGGTCGCTTCTCTGCCAGGATCTATAGTCGGCAAGTCCTTGCTTCTCTTCCACAAATGTGTCTCTTCCAGCGCCTTTTGCAATTATGGCTCATTTCTCTAGGTTTCATGTGGCAGGCGCCTGAACAGAATTATAAGCATGAGCACGTGCAGAAATAATCCGCTTCCCAAGATAGCAAATGCTGAGGAGTTCTATATTAGAACACACTGGGAGTGCTGACTGGCTAGGGCGTGATTAACCTAATAGGCTTAAAGTTCCACTTGCCATCCACATCTGTCAGGACATGAGCGAAATGCAGGCCTGTAATCCACGAGACTGAGGTCTCTCAGAATTGCCCTGCTGCTCACTAACAGCGGAGGGTTCAAAACTTGCGACAACGACAGGACAACAGGCACCGTTACCTCCACGCGGCGGGGTCAAGGCAGTGAAGAAAGCTGGTTCCGAGTTCAGGACGCTGCACCTTGGACTTCACAGGATTCTGGCCTGGAAATTGCCTGGATGGATTAGTAAGACTGCCTTTTGTTCCTATTTCAAATACTGCTCTCTGAAGATTGTGACTGTTGTGGGTGGGAGATGACTACAAGGTGAGATCATGGGGTGCACACCTTCCCACAGTGAAATTGTTAACAGCGTCGCTAAGAGTGGCATCCAGTTTTTTAAAAAGCCCAAAGCAATTTTGCCAGGATGTCAGGGGGACAGTGAGAAATGCTCTATCCCGTTGCTGGCTCAAAGCTCCGCCTGCTCTGACTCTGGGAGGGGCTTGTCCCAGGGACAGAGGCCGGCGGAGGACCAGCCAAGTTCCAGATGGACTCAAACCAGAGCTGAAGGTCTTTCTCAGCTCATGAGAGATCCCACTACAGGCAAAAAGAAAGATGTGGAAGGACTGATCCCAGAAACCAGAACCTCCCCATTGCAGCTGAACAAATCAAAAAGTCACATGGCTAAGGACATTTCATTCAAGACACAGACCCATGAGTCACAAGGGGCAGCCTTTTCTGGGGAAGAGAGTGAAGAAAGCAATTCCCAGGAGACCTCCAAATGGGAAAGGAAGCCAAAATGCCACAAGTCAGGCAAACAGGGCCATTGCTGCCAAACTATCTTTCCTGCTCACGGGTCTGAAGTCAAAGTGGACTTCCCTGAGCCCCTGGTAAAGGCCCACCAGCACGCTTACACCTATCTGCACTCCTGCCTCTGCAAATATGAAGCAGTTCTGCACATCACCCATCAGGCCACCCAGACCCAGGAGCTGCTGCAGCCCATGGTCAGCTTCCTGCTGCTGTGCTTTGATGAGGTCAACCAGCTCCTGGGGGAGATCTCCAAGGACGGAGAAGTGCTCCTCCAGGAAGTCAGGGAGGATCTGGCTTGGCCGTTGAAGAAAGGAGAGCCCCAGGGGCAGCCAGATCTCCTGCAACAGCTTCTGCAGTACACAGTCAGCAAGCTGCAGGTGCTCAGTGGCGCAGTGGCCTCACTCACTGGCAGCTTCCTGGAGGGCTCCAGCAGCTACCTCCACACTACCGCAAGCCACTTGGGAAAAAAGCTGAGCACAAAGAGGGGTGCGGATGAACGCCTTCTAAGGGCTCTGGGGCAACTGGAGAGCTTAGCAAGCGACCACAGCGACCCTGGAGTACAAGGTCTACCCTTGTGCTCTGAGGACAGCGGCATTGGTGCCGACAATGACTCCGTGCTGCTGGCGGACAAGCTGGGCAAGCAAGCTAGCTTGGACTTAGGGCTGGAGCCTGCAGACTGGAAGTCGGGGATTTTACCCCCAGTGGAGTCCAGGCTGTTGGGACATGCCTGGCAGCAAAGTCCTTTCCAGATGGGTTCAGACAGACCCCAGGACTGCCCACTCTCAAGGCCTCTTACAGCAAAGGTTCAGCCAGCAGCACAGGGTGGAACAGGGAGCCCAGGCCCCTCCAGCACCAGCCCAGAAAATACCACCTCCAGGCCTCCGGGGATGGGCAAAAGCAATCCACATGAATCCCTTGGGATGGAGATCTCTGTGGAAGCACATCTTCCTAAAAGCTCCAGGTTGATGGACACACCATCCCTCAGCGAAGGTGAGGACAGCAGCCTAGAGGAGGAGGAAGACACTTCTTACCCAAGGCCAAGGTCTTCACCTGCTGGCCCAGAAAGCACATTTCAGCTACATCCCGGGAGACTCAGGAGCCCCCAGGCCCAGGAAATGATTCTGAAGATGAAGGAAGCCATCAGTGAAAGGATCAAGTTTGTCCCTTTGCCCTCTGGGCACCAGGACTGGGCTGAGGAGGAGGAGAGGAGGACAGCAGTCCCACCAAGACCCAGCACGGTCAGTGGCAGCAGGAGGGAGCCCGAGAGGCAGAGGAGGTCCCAGTCAGAGGGGTGTCTGAAGAGCCACATGGAGGACGCCACTCTCCAGGAGCTGCGGAGGGTCCAGAGAGACCTCAGCCAGAGGCTGGAGGCGTTTTACACCCTGGGCACCCAGCGGCAGGGGCAGGGCAAGGAGCAGGTTCTGCACCCCAGAGCAGCAGCTAGGAGGCCTGACAACAACTACAGGGTCCCCCCGAGCAACACCATCAGCAAGCTGAAGGCATCCTTCACCAAGAAGTTCAGCATTTTGCCAAGTCAGGACAAGAGCATTTTGCAGAAATGCAGTACCCCCCCGGAAGGTGAACAGCCCTGGCCGCCAAAAGCTGAGGGGCTTCCAAATGCCATCCCATCAGGCGAGAGGGCTAGTGAGGCTCCCGGGGCCAAGGACGGGAACATCAGGGGCCATCCCACTAGAACATCAGTCAAGAAACTCATTGAAACTTTCAGTCCCCCTGAGAAACTGACAACACTGGGGGATTCTAAGGACTCTGGGTTGAACTGCCTCAGGAAGTGGGGGGTCCCCATCATGCCTCCCAGATTTCCCATTTACAGGGGGCTTGCTCCTATGTATCCAAAGCCCCAGATTTCTCCAGCAGCAGGCAGAGACTCTCTCAAGTTGGGCACAGGCTGGAGGTGCTTAGCTCCAGTCTTTCCCCCTCTGCTCACAGCAGAAGCATCCAAGAGTGAGGACCTTAACTGTGAAATGCAGGAGGACCCAGAGCATCTCCCTCCACCACCTCTGGAAATCCTGATGGACAAATCTTTTGCTTCTCTGGATACCCCAGAAAGCAGCAATCTGAGGAGGAGCTCCCTTGAAGGAACCCACGTGCCGGGGCTGGGAAGGGCTGGCCCTTCCGGGAGAACGTGGGCTTCCTCAAAGCTCAGAGCCTCCATGAGCCCCACTGACCTGCTTCCCAGCAGGAGAACTGCCACCCTCACCGGGCCCCGCAGTGCAGGGCCAGGGAGCGGCAAGAGTGGGTGCAATACTGGAAAGCTCACCTTGGACCTGAACCATCTGCCAGCAACCAGCCAAAACCCAGAAGTGGAGGGTAGCAGGGCTCCAAGTCAGGCACGAGCGGACAGGGCTGCAAGCCTCTCCAAGCATCCCCGGAAGGCAGTCCCCTGGCAGCACTCCAGCCACGCATCTGGGCAGACCAGGACCTCGGAACCCAGCCTGGCCAGATCAACGCAAGGGCCACGTTCTCCGGAGGCTCTAAGACACAGCCAAGAGAGAAGCCCCCCAGTGATCAGAAAGGCCTCTCCCACAAGGGCACACTGGACACCCCGAGCAGACAAGAGTCACCCCAGCCTGCCCTCCTGTCACAGACATGCCCAGCCAAGTGTCCCCTCCACGCATGGCTCCCCCAGCCCACCACTCAGCCCTCTGGCAAGCCCCAGGGTGCTAAGTCCCCCAACAGTGAAGAAAGGAGCTTCCCCACCACCCCAGCACAAGCTGCCAGGCCCTCCCCTGGTGAGCTCACCTGCTCAGCACAAGGTCTCCACCCCCCCTACCCAGCGCACAGAAGCACGTTCTCCTGCCTCTGGCCCCTCCCTATCCCCCCCAGCGTCCCCTAGTCAGGGACTCAAGGAAACAAGAGATTCTGAAGACAGTTGGGAGGCCCCAGCCAAAGCACCTGGGAACACGTGTTCCATATTCTGCCCAGCCACCTCCTCTCTGTTTGAAGCGAAATCACCATTCTCAACAGCCCGCCCACTCACCCCACCATCACTGCCACCTGAAGTTGGGGACCATGGTGGGACCCCCACAGGATGCTGGAGGAGCAGCTCAGGGCCACGACTGAGGGGGGACGCACAGCGGGGAATGGCCCTGTGTGCCCTCAACCCCCAGCCCTTCATCAGAAGGACAGCCTCTGACCGCCGGCCAGGCGTCCGCCTTCATCTGCCTGTCGCCGGCACCACCAGCAACACTTGTGACTCCCACCTCGGCCAGAGCAGGTAAGGAGAGTCCTCGGGTCCTCAAGAACCCAAAACAGCCTTTGCATATATCGGTTGTATCTATCGCTTTTTACTATATGATAAATTAAAATTAAGAAATGTTTGAAATACTTATTAAATTTAAAAAAACAAAAATGACCCCCGTTAGGTTAACGTAAATAATTCCTTCTTGTGAAATTTAACTATATTTTCCACAAAAAAAAAAATTAGTGAAAAGAGTGGCACTGTCTTAAATTTTTGCAAATCTCTTGAGTGTGTGGCTTCACAGAAAGACAGCTGGATTTTCAGATCTTGTTCTGCAGTCAATCTTTTGGGATCTCACACATCGTGTAGACTGGAAAATTCCACTCTACATTCATGAAAGAATGAGTGAAAAGGGAAAATAACATCTTAGTATTATAATGAAGATAGTTTGGAACTCATGGACCCCCCTGAAAGGGTCTTGGGGACACCCAGGGGACCCGCTTTAAGAACGGCTGATCCTGGAGATATGGAGTATAAATGGTTGGCTTCCCCATTCCCCCAAGGACCTGTCCCCACTTCTCCATTCTAGCCTCATGTCCACCTCCCCCTTCAGAGGTGTGTAGAGTAAGAAAAAGACTCTTCATGAGTGCTGAGCACCAGACCCCAGGCCGAAGGGCTGCCATCCCCACCTTGGCAGAGTGAGTTCCAAGTGTGCCTTTTTCATGAGGGTCATGTCATTGGCCCAGCCATGCAGATGGGCCTGGGCATGTGGCTGCAATGGGCCCTGAGTCAAAGTATAGCCATAGCATGAGTGTTGAAAGAAGGACTCGTATGTTCAAGTGGTTATTTTATAGAATACACATCTTTTCCAGAATAGTGGCATGGGGAAAAAATGTAAATCTGAGGCGTATTAGAGAGGGACTCTTATCAATATTTCTTGATACCAGATCAGACAAAGTTCAACCAGCCCCAGTCCTTGCTGTCTTTGCACTGCCCACGGTTGTGTAAATCAGCAGTTAATTTCTGCCAGAGTGATGCGTGTTACAGACTTCACAACCTGTCAAGGCATAAATGGTAATCTTTTACAAAGTAGTCGGCAGTCAGTTTTAAATAAAGATGTTATCTCTGGAAAGTTGGGCCTTATTATAGTTATATAAACTTCCCCAGCCGCTTGAAGGAAATGAAATATTGATTATTCTTGCAAGAATCTTAATGTAACATTGCTCTTTTCTTAAATCTAAAACAAGCCTCCTATAGCACAGAGCATTTCATCTGAGAACCTCTGTAAATGTTAATGGATTATTCCTCACACTAGCCACTTACTCAGTTATTAGATTTCTAAAACTGTGCCCTTCAGGAGAAGAGCTTGAGAGAACAGGGACAATAAAATGGCATTAATTAAAAACACTAACATTTAAAAACAGCAGGAGCAATAATAAAACAACATAAAATTGTTCAAGAAGAAAATAATGCCCTTCTCGCAGGCTTCTCCTTGGAATAGAGCAGCCTAAAAGGTTGTTTTATGTCCTGAATCTAAATACTTGGAGAGACGGGGGGAGGTGGAGAATTGCTTGTAGCTTAAAAGAGAGAGGAGGATGCATCAACAGGAGCCTTCCCAAGGTCGCACGGAAGGTCCCATAATGTTTGCACCCATTCCCCTGTCTCCTGGGAAGACCACATCTCTAAGCCGTTCCAAAGTGTGAAACTGTGAGCATGTGATGGGAAAATGCTGGCTCCCAGCCCCCTCACCACCTACCCAGCCCTGTCAAGTTGGCGTCTGTGAGCTGAAGCACACCAGCTCTAAGAGCACCAAGCATTTGCTGCTCAGTAGAGGACAAGCATTTTTTTTCTGCCAGCCTGCACGCCAGGGAACTGAGCGTGATTTCTCCAAGATCGTTCAACGAGCCAACAAGCCAGTACAGAGAGCCAGAAACTGCTCAGAACAGGCCGTTTCCCCAAACAGAGACTGGCAGGGACACAACCACACCCATCATATCTTGCAGCTGAGGCAGGCTTGCAGAAGGAACTGGCCTGCGTCCAGCGTTGACCACCACCCCCCCCCCCCCCCCCCCCCCCATCCTGTGCTAGGCACGAGCCCCTTTTATAGAAAAAATGATGATGTTTCTATCCTCCTGATCTTGGAGCCCAGGGGATTGGCAACAGTCCTTGGAGGCTTACCCAGGAAGCTCAGTTACGGAGCTTCAACTGTTATTTATGCGTTGAATCCCCTGTGGAGGTGTCAGTCTCTACGTCTCAGCGTGCTGGGGCACTGTGAGCATCAAGAAGGTCCAGACCTTCTCCCCTAAATGCGGCACTTTTAGTTTTTGCCTGAACTGGACGGCCCAGGCAGGCGATCTCTGCAGCCCTCACCTCGTTTCCTGGATCAGACTGCTTGGGCAGGCTGCCTTCCCAGCAGTTCCAGAACCAGTAGAAACACAGCCACATCATGGCAGCCAGGAAAATCAACCTTCCAGCCTGAGCCTCGTGCAGATGTGGAAGCTGATTGGGGTTGAGGAAGACACAGTTCTAGGACCAAATCATTGGTCAGACCTCGGTGTCAGCACCACTGACACTGCATGCCACAGCCTGTCCTCTAGACACGCCCCTCCCAGTCCTGCCAGCAGCTCCAGCTGGAGAGCAGAAGGGGTCATAGGTGAAGTGCATCCTGTATATGCCTTCCCCTGCTCCAAAAGGGGCACAGGGAGAAGAAGGAAGGAAGGTGGAAGCTGTGACCCACAAACCACACTGGGTCCTGCAGGGACCTGTAATGGGGCCGGAGGCTGACATGGGTGAGACTGGTCTAAGGAACACAATGGCTCCCCACTGCCTGAAAATCATGTCTGTGTGGCCGTCTTAGTGCCTGCCCCACCTCACCCCCGACTCATGCCACCTGATCTTGTAGGATCCAAACTCAAATTTGTCCTCCATTGGCTTGACATCCCATGTAAGCCTAACCACACAAGCTCAAGAATAGTCAAGAATGTGCTGTCACAGGCGGAGAGCAGGGCTTCTGCTGGTGCATGTGGGCAGCTGTGTCTAGTCCTGGCCCTGAAGCGACTGATGGAGAGGCCCTGACCATCAGGTGCCCACCTGCAGCATGACAGGGCTGTCCTGGGGTCCTTTCCAGGTGTGGCTTCCTACTCACACTACGAATCAGCACCAGAGTGACTGCTGGCCATTTACTGAGCAATTGTCACATGCTAGTTGGTACGCTAATGGTTTTACATGCTTCAACCAATATTGATAACTTTGAGTGCCCTATGAGATGGGTACCATTATTATCTCCATTTTACAAAGAAGGAAACAGAATCGGAGAGATTAATTAACACGCTACAGGTCACACAGTTGGTAAGAGGAAGACCCAGGACTTGAACCCAGGCAGCCAGACTCCACCCTCCACGCGGTAATTGTGAGGTGAGCATGCTAGCATGTGGCTTTCTGAGCTGATCCTCCTTCTGGCCTAGACTGCTCTATGCTTGGGACCGCCCTCTGTTCTGCACTCCCTGAGCACACTGGGTGTCCCTCCCCGTTCAAAGCCCCTCTTGCTGTATCACTCAGCAGTGGGGAAACTCTGTTATACCCAAATGCCAGCCTGGGCCAACCAGTCTCCATTTTACTCCATTCAGGAAAAGGGTGGCAGCTGAGCAAGGCAGGGGGGTTTTTACTGTTATTGTTGGTGGTGTTTTTAATTCAACTAACTAAATCTAGCCCTTTATTAAACAAGAAGTGCTTTGAAAACAAAAACAAAATGAAAGCCCGGCTCCCAGAACTCCTGAGGGAGTTGCTTTGTTCAAAGCAGCAGGATCCTGGGCATCAAGGGAAAGAACAAGACTCAACTTGTCAGCCGAAACCCCAGAAGCTTGGCTCCCACAGTGCCTGAGCACAGAGGAACGCACAAGGACGCCTGCAGGCAAACCTGACATGGAAAGGCAGAGGCCTGGCACCAAGGGTCCCCTTGGCCTGTGGCTGAGACAGACAGGGATTGACAGAGAGAGGCAGAGTGGAGAGCAAGGGAGGTCACCGGGAGGAACACCGGGTGAGTGTTTGATCTGCACCTGTTCTTTCTCTCGGCAGCAGCGGTGAGGAGAGCCCTAAGAAGGATGCAGAGCCGTGGAGCAGCCCCTGTGCCCCAGAGCTGAAGGGCAGCGGCAGGGGCGCATCTCCCCCGGAGCTCTGCGTGCTGGGCCACGGGCTGCAACGGGAGGCCAGCACTGGCTTCAGCCAGGACAAGCCCCAGCAGAAGGAAGCGGCTTGACAGGCTGGCCAACGGGGTCGCACTGATGCCAGTCACCCCAGAAGGCAAAGGGTGACAGCTAAGCATCAGGATAACCCACAGATGGTGGGCTAGCCCAAGTCCTACTGAGGTGTCCTGGAAAGGCCTGGAAGGAACACTACCCAGAGCGTCTGCTCCATTCTAAACATTCACCATTTTCAGTCCCAGATCCTGCTTGGCCTTCAGGTTCAAAGGTTCACTATAACTTTGGACCCTGCAACGACACTCTTTAATCCTTCAAGTACTGGCCTTAATTTAGGGGGAAAATGTGTTTACCGCGTGCTTGATGGGCCAGGTGTTTTACCTGGGTTAGCTCCCCGATATCATTTAATCCCCACAACAGTGAGTGAAGTGATAGCATTCTTCTGGTTTTGCAGATAAGCAAACCAAAGATCCCACCCGCCGAGTGTCTTGCCTGAGGTCACACAGCTAGGAAGAGAACAGAGCAAAAATTGGAACAGGTGTGCCTGGCACTGGAATCTATTGTCTTTCATTACATTTCATCACCCGGGACCACTCCATCATTGCATCTGCCTAAAGCATTCGTAGTTGCACAAATGGTTGGAAAGCTTTGGCTTTTTAAGGTTAAATAGTGGCACAGCATTGAAGTCCCCATTACAAGCTTTGTTTAGAAGCTGATTGTTTCAAGGATAAGGAGACTGAGGTGGAATCAAGATACAGCCCCATCCACCCTCCTTCCTTTCCTCCTTCCCAAGCTCAGCTCCAAAGCCCAAACATGAAGCTGCCAGCCCACTAGAGCAGCCGGCTGCCTCTCAGCGGAAGTGCGTCTCAGAGGCATGTCTCAAATGCTCTGCCCCACGCATCCACGTGCCTCACAGCCTGAGTGGGTACAACAAGGCTCCCCAACAAGCATGGACAAGCAGCCCATTCTCTGTGTCCATGGGGGCTGGGGCTCCGGAGGACGTGTGGGTACGGTGCACACGCACACACACACACACCAGTCTCCCCCACGGGCTCTTCAGCCAACTTTGTTCCCAGGTCACCTGCTGACCTTCTGCTGGAGTTGAAATTGAAGCAAAGAATGGCCATTCATGCCAAAAACCTGCTCTGCTGATGAGCTAGACTGGCTGCAGGTCTTGGAACTTTTCCACTGGAGGCTGTGGAGTACTTTCTATTCAGAAAAGAATTTGCAGTAATTGGGTGATTCAGTGCTGGCTCAGTGGGTTGTCAAAAGGCAAGAATTCTCACCCACGGGGTACAACTAAGGGACAATGCTCCAGATCTGCTGCAAAGCTGATTTTTTAAGTTTGAGAAAATTATAGACTTCAACTCCTTTATGTTGCAATAGATCATGACTCCAGAACATGTTAAACTGGGTCCCAGGGACCACAGCTACCTCTCCCAGGGATAGGCCATGACTCCGAGTCAATGAATCCCACTCTGACGTGTCCAGTTATTAAAATAGGAATAATCCCTTCAAAGGCATTCAAGGAACAGTTGATTAAACTCTACAAAGAGGGGCCACAACCCGCCCCTCTGTTGGGAAATGCACGCAGCCAGCTGTATGCTCACATTAGCTGTGTAGCCTCACTGGTCGTCAGAGCAGAGCCCAGGCAGCAGCAGAGCTGGTTCTGGGGCCGAGCCACACTCACCACAGGCGTGGGCCCTGGGAACCCCCTGGGCTGCCGACAATGGGAGGAAGTCCAGCTACCCAGGCAGGGCAGGGCTGAGGTAAGAGTGAGAACAGCCAGGTTTAGGAAACTTGCTTGATATAGATCTGGGCAGTCTCCCTGCAGGGTTAAGCTGGCAGCATGCGGAAGCGGGGTGGGCCCTGGGGAGACTGGGCACAGAGCTGAGCAGGCAGGAAGCAAGCAGTGTGGAGGGATCCAGATCATGAGGAAGAAGGCTAGTCAGAAAGTGAACCCCACCCTGTGCCAGGGTGGGGGCAGGCTTCCCGGAGGTCTGAAGAAACAAAGCAGAACCCCAGCTACAGGGAGACTGGACAGGGACACAGCTGATGAAACTGGGATACAACATGGGGCCTAACCACAGGAGAAATAAAAAGTCTAGTTACCTGAACCAGGATACGACGTGGGAGCCAGATCTGCAGGAAGCGGGAGTGAGGCTGAGTCTCCAGCCCAGGGCCTCCTTAAAGGGTCGCATCTTAGAGGTCTGGGGCTGACTTGAGTGTGTAGGTGGGGGCTGAGTGCACCCAGCTGGGGTAATGAGAGCTAGAGGTGGGAGGCCAGACAGCACCTTATATCATGGAGAGGACAGCATGAGAGAGAATGCCCTGGAAGAGTCTAGAATGAACCCTTGCTGCTCTCCATGAGCGTGCCTGGCAGGAGGCTCTCTGAGACGAGAGGTTGTCCCCTCCCCCAAGCTAGGCTGGTAGGCAGCAGCCAACACCGCGCCCCCCCCCCCTTGCCCGCCCCCACACTGCAGGCAGCAGTGAAGGCGTACATGGCTCCTCCCGCCATCAGCCCGGGAGCAGTTCATGACTCCTCCTCATCCCTCTACATTTGCTGAGCACCTACTCAGGCCAGGACAGGGCTAGGCTCCTGCGGCATATCTCCCTACTTGATATTATATAATGAGAGGCCCCCGCTGCCTCTAGGCCCAGGCAACAGGTACAATGAGCTGGTATAGCCATCCTGTTGCCCAAGTCCCCAAAGGCTTCAAGAATCCCAAGTCAGCTTCCCCAAGGGAAAAGGGGAGGAGTCACCAAGGCCAAGAGTCTCAGAGGTAGTCAAGGTCAAAGGTAAAGCAACTCCCAGCCGGCATAGGTCAAAGATGTGTTTCTGGCTACCATCCCAACCAGCAGACTTAGCCCAAATGACATGTGAATTAGACTTTGTACAAAAGAAATTAAATCCACCACAACAGGCCACCTGTGTGGTGTCAACTCCATCTCACCCCTCTGGAGACCAGACCTTTCCTCAGCCCAGGCCTTTGGTCCTTCCTTGGACAGCATGCTGCTGGTGGCGGGAGGGGCATCCCAGCTCCACGGCTTCTCAGTGGTCACTCTTACCCGCCTCCCCTCCTCCCCAGAACCTCATCCTCGCTGGGCCCAATCCCCTTCCTGTGCTCAAGGGAGAAGAGGGGCAGGTTTTGTATCATTTTTTCTTTTTAAATCAAGTAAGCCAATGGATCCAGCCCATCAAGAAGAAATGTTGGGTATAAAAACAGAGGGAGTCCACCACAGGAGATCAATTTAAGGGGTGCATATTATCCACAAGTGTTTATTTGGGCCAACTCCGTTCTGGGGAGGGTATGGCCTTCATCCTCCACACCCACAGAGACCCCCAGAGCCGCGCGGAGGGAGACGCCCGGCCAGCTCTTTACCCAACACATTAGTAACAGAGCAAATAGTTCTGCCCCAGGGGAAAACCACAATTTTCTGGCTCCATCAAAAGGATTCATAGAGGAAAAAAAGCAAATATAATATTCTGGTGGAAAAGTGATAGCTTTTTGCAAATGTAAATACAATCTTCAAGGTGAAATGTAACTTCCCTCCGAAGCTTGGGTCTGTGTGGTTGTTTACTATAAACAGTGTCTATTTTCCTGCCTTACATCTTACAGGTGGTTGAGAACCTAAAATAAGCCATGTTGAGAGAAAATGCAGGGCAGACAGAGCAAAGAGACCTTTCTTTCATTGTGAAGAGCTTGCCTCATAAACCCTACAATGTGAATGAAAGAGATTTTGATAAATATATTCTTTTTTCTAAAATAAACCAGTATTTTGCAGGTATCAGGGGAGCTGGTGCAGTGAATTATAAGTGTCAACATGTTTGTCAATTGATCATCTGGTTGACTGCTTACAGGCTGCCAACACCCACTCTGTCTTCCAAAGGAAAGCTTTTCAAAGGTAATATATTTTTAAGTAGCCCCACATCAAAGATTCTGTTGAACTGCTATAAAATAAATGTGGCCGGAGCCTATATTAACAGTAGATGTTATACTGCACTGTGGTTTACTCCCTGTGCCTACCTGAAGTTTAAATAAAGTTTCGTCAATCCATCCAGACGTTTTTATGAAATGTAATTAAAGATGTGCTGCACACGCACAGGAGCGAACAGTTAATTCACTCAGCACTCTAATTCAATTTTATGGAGGACCCCGGACACTGCTGGCTTGATTACGCTCACGGACTTCGGAAAGTAACTTTGCAGATAGTCTGTGGGCCCTACATCAGTGACTATAGAATTCAACTGATCTAGTAGCCCAAGATCTGAATGCTGTAATTCTAGACACCCCTGATATCTAGCACACGAGAAAACCATCTGTTTTGGCTGGAATGGTGGCACTAGCAGGACTCAGGTAGTGCCCATGGACAAACCTGATAGTCCTGAATTAGAGGAAGAAGAATGAAACAAGGAAGAGGAGGAGAAAGAAGGAGGGATATGACAAATGTGTCAGTCACCTGGGGGAGCCAGAGTTGATCCCAGAGTTGATGGTGAGGAATTAGGACACAGGAGCTGAGGCCCAACGCCTCTATCACTCCACCCTGTGACCTGGCTTTGTTCCTAAGCCATCTTTTGAGCCACCGGGGGGAAGTGAATTCAATCTCTCTTTCTTTTCTTTTCATTTCTTTTCTTTCTTTTGGTGAGGAAGATTGGCCCTGAGCTAACATCTGTGCCCATCTTCCTCTATTTTACATGTGGAACCCCACCACAGCATGGCTTGATGAGTAGTGTTGGCCCACACCTGTGATCCGAAGCCATGAACTCGGGCCACCAAAGTGGACCACTTGGAACTTTATTATGCCACTGGGCTGGCCTCTCCATTTTTGTTTTTAATGTTCATCTCTGCCATCTCTTCACTTTAAGATTCTGATTAAGAAAAGAATTCAGGACCATTTCCCCCTCCTTCCCAATCTGCTTTGATCCTTGAAGAAAGTTAAAAACAGCTGTCAAACCCAGCTAGAATTGACTTCCTTCGTTCAAGGATTCCATGTCTTTCAAAGTGAAAAGGCTTTAAAACATTTTGCTTGCAATCACAACTACATATGTCAAATATACCAAACAGAAAAAAACAAATTAAGCTTCAGAACCTCCCGTTTATTCCCGTGCTGAGTCGTGGGTGATCTGTCAGTCAGACAGTGGGAATGACTTTCGTGCCTTCTGAACAGCAGGTTTTCCTGGGATGAGACTAGAGTTAATAATAATTATACCTTTTCTTTGTGTATAACACTCTACTTTTTCAAAATACAATTATCCACACTGTTTTATTAGATCTTTAAAAAATCCTATGAGATGAACAAAGGAAGTATTTTTTCAATAGTTTTTACAAACGAGAAAAAAGAGGCTGAGAGATGTCAAATGTCTTGCTCCAAAGACACATTGCCAGCTAGAGGCAGATCTAGGTCCCCCAGCCTCTGGCCAGCCTTGGTTCTATGCCTACTGTGAGCCGTGTTTAGATTATTCTGGGGGCGGGAGGGTGGGGGAGGACAGCCCTAGAAAACGATACCACAACCTTCTTTGGAAAAAAATCTGAGTTTTCGCTAAGATTTACAAATAGGAAATTATTTTCCATATGCAGCCAAAGTCCGGTTGTAATTTTAGCCATTTCTCTTAAACTAGCTTGCATGGAAACTCAAAACAAAATTTCCAAAAGAATTTTTAAAAATGATAATCCTCTCTATGTACCTCAACCACTCCCCATCCCTCCCATGCATGTACTGGCATCAAGAAAAAAAGAGTTTTTCCAAAAAATCTTTGTTCCTCATCGCCACAAACCCCTGAAGTGTGCTTCAGGGTGAAACCCCCCAGCAGGAGCAAATGGCACTTCAGGAGACAGCTCTGACACTTCATCTTCAGGGCCCCAAAGTGGTAAAAACCAGTGCAAGAGACAGAAAGGAAATATAGACCCTGGGAAACAAATTGCCTTCATGAAAATTATTTATCTGGGTTTTTTTTTCTCCTTTGCAAGGGGGCAGGATTGGCTGTGTTTATAAGACCTGGTGACCTTTGAAAGCTATTGTTTAGTTAACAACTTCTGACACCAGCCTCAGGGATGCTGGATCACTTTCTGGATGTAAAAGTTCTCAAGGAGAACCCAAGGTGATGCTAATAACGGCTGTCATCCCACAGAGAGGTAATTATAAAGCCATGATTCAAACAAAACAAAACCTTCACATATTATAGCCTTCATCCCTGAAACACCAGGTGACAGGATACAGAGAAGCCATAATGCCCCTTGAATAAAGCCCAGTAATGATAAAGACCACACTGGAACCCCAAGTGGTCCCCGCCTCAGAAACACCCACCTGGTGAGCGGCCCCTTGCACATGGTGATGCTGCCTGGTCTGCCTGCCCAAGGGACCCCTGGAGCC